TTGTCGTATAAGCATCATTGAGGTATTACTGGGATATAATTTCACTGGGACATTGTGTGCAGCAACGGACACTCTGATGTATGTATTTTTAGATTTTTGCTAAGTTTGTACTTAATGATTTGTATATTACTGTAAATAAATTATTATTAAGTTTAAACTGTGTGATTGATCTTTGCTGGCATTTAGGGTTATTCTGACCCATAACAATTATAGCTTTTCTTTATGTAGAAAATGTGGCCCATGTGCTGGAAAAAGGAGGAGGTGTTGTTATACCCTGCCAATACAAAGTGTGTCCCAAAAACTTCCATGCAGCATTGACTGTTATAAAATATGCCTGAAAAGTCGGTCATTGATGTCTCCTTATCATAAAGTGTACATGCATCACATATTATTCTTTGTATCAAAGTTCATTTCATAGAATGTGAAGTTTTTTTTATTTGTCCAAAGTAGGACCTTTGTTTTTTTTTTAATATAAAAGTTTACATACTAAGTTTGACATACTTTATATCATTTTAAGATGCACATAAATTTACTATAGAATTTTCAATGAGAGAGAGAGAGAGAGAGAGAGAGAGAGAGAGAGAGAGAGAGCATGAATTTGCCAAAGACTGCAATGAGAGAGAGAGAAAGGATGCACATAAATTTGATAAAGATTTTGTAGAGAGAGAGAGAGAGAGAGAGAGAGAGAGAGAGAGATGCACATTTCCACTAGAAAGTGAGGGGTGTTTTATATTGTAGTATCAAGGTACTATTTTATTATTATGTTTATTTTGTAGATCTATAGATTTTTTTTTATATGTTTATGCTTTATATGAGTCCAAGTAGGATGAATTTACTTTTTTTTGTAACTGTATAATTATTTTATAGCCTTTTACCATGTTTACATTCCTAGTCATTTTCCCGTTATTTAAAACCAGGTGTTTCCATTGTTACTTTTTTTCTTTGTTAAAAAGTCATTTTATTCAAATAAATAATGACATAAATTGTGTGTCTCTGAATGTTACGAGAGAATTTAACTATCTAAAGGTCATAATTTCATGGTCTTCAAGCTAGATCCGCCCCACAATTTACACACGGTCATTATAGTGTGTTGATATCAGCTTTCACCGTGAGCGATTTCCCCCACAAAAAAATTATTCTGGTGAAATGACTACTGGATATTAGCAAAACTAACTAATTTTGGTCATAAAACAACATTAAATATAATTTTTGATTTGTTTTGCACACGTTTATAAAGTGACTCGAAATAACCGGAAGTGACCCGCAATTCCTTAAATTGGAGGTCTAGATAAAGCTCCCATTGCGGTCGTTTTATCAAAGATAATCGCAATTTGGTTCATAAGTCTTTTCAATCAAACAATAAACTTCTTAATAATACCCAGGAACCATTAATAATCTTGTTTGTTTAATTAATTGCAGTAGAAATGTAAAAAGTGACCCGAAATTTTTGTAATATAATATTTAGTTTTTTTTTTAGTAAAGTGAGTCATTCCCTTAATTAAATTCATAAGTACACAATACTATTGCCTAGCATATAAATAATTTATAGCACCTCATGCATTTAGTAAAACGTAATTATTCAACGTAACATTTCTATCAAACTTAACAAACTATTTTATATTAATAATTGTTATTGTTTTCATACATGACCTGAAGTGATTTAAATCACAAAAGGTTCTGTTTTGTAGAAGTCACCAAAAAAAAAAGATTAGTGTCAGACTACTCACTGGGACGATCTTCTTCACACACATGTCATTTAACCCCCCCCCCACCACCACCTTTCTGTATGGGTGGGAGAGGGTCATGTAAGATCTGAAGAGATGGGTGTATTATTCTACAGATGGTCAGGGTGCTGAGGGACATTTCATTCTATGGGGGTGATGTCACTCACAACCCTGTGAAGTTCCTGTATTGCTGGTACGTCTGTTTGTAAAACACCTGATAATTTTGATATAATCCCCTTCGTCTCCTGAAGAAATGTGGACTCTGTCATAAAAAAAGAAGAAATTTGGAAAAAAGAAACACAGAGATTAATTAAAAGTTCTGAATATATGTCAAGTATTCTTGTGCTATGACTACAGATTGGTGCATGTAAAGTGTTCTTGTGCTGTGACTACAGATTGATGTATGTAGTGTTCTTGTGATGTGACTACAGATTGGTTTGTGTAAAGTGCTCTTGTGCTGTGACTACAGATTGGTGGATGTAAAGTGCTCTTGTGCTGTGACTACAGATTGGTGTGTAAAGTGCTCTTGTGCTGTGACTACAGTTTGGTGGATGTAAAGTGTTTTTGTGCTGTGACTACAGATTGGTGAATGTAAATTGTTCTTGTGTTGTGACTAAAGATTGGTGGATGTAAAGTGCTCTTGTGCTGTGACTACAGATAGGTGGATGTAAAGTGCTCCTGTGCTGTGACTACAGATTGGTGGATGTAAAGTGCTCTTGTGCTGTGACTACAGATTGGTGGATGTAAAGTGTTCTTGTGCTGTGACTACAGATTGGTTTGTGTAAAGTGCTCTTGTGCTGTGACTACAGATTGGTGGATGTAAAGTGTTCTTGTGCTGTGACTACAGATTGGTGGATGTAATGTGCTCTTGTGCTGTGACTACAGATTGATGGATGGTAAGTGTTCACCTGTGCTGTGACTAGGATATGCTTGTGCTGTGACACAGAGGTGGATGTACAGTGCTCAACTTTGACCCACAGAAGGTGGATGTAATGTGCTCTTGTGCTGTGACTACAATTTTCAATGTAAAGTGTTCTTGTGCTGTGACTATTGGTGGATGTAAAATTAAATATTATATATGTAAAGTGATTTTTTGCTGTGAAATTTACAGATTGATATCATTAAATAAAACTTGTGGTTAATTTAACACATTGGTGGAAAAGTGTTCTTGTGCTTGACTACTTTTGGTGGAAAAAGTGTCTCTCACTAAAGTGCTGTGATTTAGCTACATATATAAACAAGTTTTTTTCTACCAGGACAAGTCAAAAAATTGATTTGACTACAGACTTGATGGATGTAAAGTGCATCTTTTGCTTTGACTACAGATTGGTGGATAAATGTATATGAGATCTTGTGCTGTGTCTACAGATTGTTTCTAGTAACAGTTTTTTATTTATATTTCAATTAACAGAAATGTAAAGTGTCTAATATGATATTCAATGTTACAGAAATTTATTGTGACTATCAAAAACAGAATTATTATTTTTTGTGGACAGTCATGAAATTTGTCAGAGGTGCCATGTGTGTGACCTAAGAAGGTGCATGTAGATGTACCTAATATATTACTGTGACTACAGATATGGGAAGTGTTCTAATGCTGTGACATACACTTGATTGTTTCATGTTGTTTTTTAATGGTATTTTAACTTGCTAACTTTACAATATTTTTCATTATAAAGTGATAAAATCGCAGCATATGCTTTATTGTGACTACTTGGTTCAAAAAACGTCTTTTGTGCCGTTTTTATTGTTTTATTCTGCATTTTATTGTCTTTAATTTATATTTCTAATAAAATGACTACAATTATCTGTAATCTGCTGTGTGTTCTACAGATGCATGTAAAGTGTTCTTGTGCTGTGACTACAGATTTGCAAGTAAAGTGTTCTTGTGCTGTGACTTCAGCGTGGGAATGTGAAGTTTCCTATGGCTAGGCCTAATTAACACCTGGTTAAATAAACATGTAAAGTGCTCTGTGTGCATGTGACTACAACTTGGATGTAAAGTGTTCATGTTGTCTAAAATTGGTGGATGTAAATTTTTGAAATCGGAAATTTGTGCTGTGTTTTTTTTTGTAAAATGCTCTTGTGCAAATACAGATTAGTTTTTGCTTTGTGCTGTGAACGACTGGTGGATGGGTAAAACACACCTGATAACTGGGGAAAGATTGGCATGTCTGGAACACAGAGGTCAAACAGGTCAAGGCCACCTTCAGGACATCAAGGCTGTATTTACCAAACATACAGTTCATGACCTCAAGGACACTCTTCTGAACAAGGTCATGAAAGAGAGACCTAAAAAAAGATTAGATACATTTAACATGGAAACGGTGAAAATTTACCAACACAGTAATGCACAAGACACAGTTACTTTGAAAAAAAATAATACATTGCACATTGAAGAGTTCCAGTTCCATGGTGTTTTTGTCATATTACTTTATAGTAAGAGTGATTTCCCCTTTGATTTAAAAATGTCAATTATTTGACTGAGCTGTGTTTAGTGCATCTAATATTTCTTTTGCCATCAGTTATTGGACTTACCTGTATCTGATGTTTTCATTGATTGGACTAACCTGTATCTGATGGCATCAGTTATTGGACTAACTTGTATCTGATGGCATCAGTTATTGGACTAACCTGTATCTAATGGCGTCTATAATGCTGATGAGGAAAGCTGTATCAAGGTCCATCAAGGTTTTACTGTCGCTGTACTGAGATTTGACATACACTTGTAACCCTTGTGGTGCCCCACTGACCTCTAAAAGACTGTGCAGGGGTTTGTCAATGACAGAGAGAGCCTGAGCATCTTTACCTTCAAACACCAAAGAGATGATGTGGTGAGTCACCTTAAAATTGAAAAAAAAGTTTGTTTAAAACAGATATTTGAAAAAGAAAATAGACTTTTTAATGTCTTTTCCAAAAAATGATTAAGTTCACTTATTTTCAGGTAATTCTGAAGACAAAACTTTCAGGCATAAATTGGACTCATAAAAATTTTATTCCTGCAAACCTGTACAGTTTGTTACATATTACACTAAAAATCAAATACTGTAGATTTCTAATTATATGCAACAAATTAATTTCCATAATTTCAAAATAAGCATCACTTGTACGAAATAAAATTACATATGCTGCAATATAATGGTGCTGAAATCCATTTAAATTCTGAACTGTCCATTTGAAATTTTTATTTTTGACGAGAGATGTTAAAGAGCCCTCTTGTGATAAAAAATACTCCCAAAAAATAAGGAATCTACAGTAGTTACAATAATTAAAAAAAAGTTTTTAGGGGCCACATGTTTGACCTGAAAATTGGCTTTTTAAAAGCACTTTTCAAAAAAAATAAAAGTTTACTTATTTTCAGGTAATTCTTAACCAAAACCCCCCCCCCCCCCCCCCCCGGGGTCAAGATTTAAGCAAACTAGAATCTACACTACCTGAAGATAATTCCCTAAAAATATCACTAAGCCTTTTACTTGAAAAGAAGATTTTAAAAGGTTTCCTTATATATTCTTATGTAAAAATTTGATCGGCCATTTTGGTCCGAACCTACCCCCCCCCCCCCCAGGTCATGATTTGAACAAACTAGAATGTACACTACCTGATGATTATTAAAAAAATTTCATCTTTCCTGGCCCAGTGGTTCTTGAGAAGATTTTTAATGATTGTTCCTATATATTCCTATGTAAAACTTTGATCGACCATTTTGGCCCCATCCTTCCCCCGGGGGTCATGATTTGAAAAATTTGAATCTACACTACCTGAGGGTGATTACATATTTCATCTTTCCTGGACCATGTTTCAAAAGAAGATTTTTTAAAAATGCCATTGATTTTTCTTTTTCATAATTATCTTCCCTTGGAAAAGGTTGTGGCCCTTCATTTTGAACAAACTTGAATCCCCTTTACCCAAGGATACTTTGTTGCAAGTTTGGTTGAAATTGGCTTCTTTGGTGTATAAGAAGATGAAAATGTGAAAAGTTTACAACAACAACAACAACGACGACAACAACGACGACAACGACGACAGACAACGGACAAATTTTAATCAGAAAAGCTCACTTGAGCCTTTGGCTCAGGTGAGCTAAAAACCGTATATGCAGAATTTTTAGTGCGGATTTAATTTTGGCATTATTAGCAAAAGATTGTTAAAATTGAATAACACTAAAAATTAATTGTGCTTTATTTCTAAAAGCTCCTAGAGTGAGCTTTTTTAATCCCTAAAATTACATCTCGCTAAGAATAAAATACCAATTTTTAAGGACAAATCGCTAAGATTCCACGTAATACTGTATCTGTTTTTTCTACCACTGATACCTGTAGTTAAATGAAAGCCTATAAATTTTCATTTAAAGGGAAATAACTCAAAACCGGAAGTGGCTTTTTGAAATTTTTGACAGCTTTCTAATAGAGTTTAATAACATCTATAACCTATGAAAATTTGATGAAAATTTGGTTGACATATATGACACAAAGTTGACACCGAGTACCAGAAGAAAAAAAAGAATAATAATTCTCTCTCAAACAGAATCAGTAGAAGGTCTTCCGTTGGAAACGGAAGACCTTAATTAATTTCCTCATGATTTCACAATAAGCATCACTCGCAAAATAAAATTACTCGCTTTTATATTCAGAGTGCTGAAATCCATTTAAATTCTATTGATCAACCGTCCATTTGCAAATTTTTATTCTCCCAATCTGACCTTAAATAGCCCATTTGATGATCTGCGATAAAATGTACTTGCAAAAAATAAGAAATCTACAGTAGTTACAATAATGCTAAAAATATCTGTTTTTCCCACCAATACCTGTAGCCTGTGACTTTGGTAGATAACGTTACATCTGACAGTGGGTTTGTAAACTCCCGTTACTTCTGACCTGTTCTCTCTCAAACAGACTTCTTCACAAGTCTCTCCATTCTCTTGTGTCCCGAGGCCATCAGTGTGAGGCCAATCCATTGGTACATAATCTTCCTCCTCTGTAGAATCCTGTGAGATCAGAGATACAGTCTTATTTGTGTCTTGTGAGTTTGTAGACTGAGTGTTACTCATGTCCTGTGGGTTTGTAGACTGAGTGTTACTCATGTCCTGTGGGTTTGTAGACTGAGCATTACTCTTGTCTTGTGAGTTTGAAGACCGAGCGTTACTCTTGTCCTGTGGGTTTGGATATTGAGCCTTACTCTTATCCTGTGAGTTTGAAGATTGAGTGTTACTCTTGTCCAGAGAGTTTGTAGACTGAGCAATTGTTGTGTCTAATGTTTGTTGCCGAGACGGATCTAACACAGCACTATCCTCTTTCCTGTCATATTCTCTTAGCTTATTTGTCTGACATTCATTAAGAGTGGAACTCCCATCTTTATTTCTGTTTGTGTCTTCATTGTCTTTAGATAAAATTCGTTCAGATCCATTTTCCTCTGCTGGAATATCATTCACATCAAACATCTGGTCAGGTTGACAAATGGGCTCCGAGTTGATTACATGACCTCTACAATTTACCGTAGGACAAAATATGGACACTGGGTTGCTAGGGGTGGGGTTGGTTGCTATGGTGATGTCTGTTTGACCACACTTGGCGACCACCTCCTGGATCTGGCCCTTCCCACTCACGTTAATTTTCATTTCCGACGTGTACCGTCTCTCTCGTGTCTCATCCTTTTCTGTTTCTTTCCGTCTCATTTGAACACCCTCCTGACTTGAGACAGATTTTAATCTCAGAGCTTCAGCAGCCTCCTCACTCAGAATAACAGTCTCCTGTACCTCTAACCTGGCCTTGACCTCTGTAGTCTGAAGGTCAAGGTCAGATTCGTCCTCTGAGCTGGTCATGGAGTCCAGTGGTTCTTTGTCGGCAAAGTGGACTTTGCGATCCAGGGCAGCCATGTAACCTTTCTCTTCCGTCTTTTTGAGAATTCCCGTGGGCTCCTCTTCCTGGTCGTTAGATACAAACATTTTGGGGGTGGTTAACGTCTCTGTGAGCTCCTGACTTTCCTCGTCTTGTGTTGATGTAGATAGAGCTTGTAACTTTTTCTTTTGCCTTTTAAGAAAAATAGCATAATAAAATAAGTTAATATTAGATAAATATTTTTAAAGATAGACCTAAAATAGCCTTTAGATAAAAAAAGAGAAAAAAGTGAAAATTAGAAAAAGTTCTATATCCTCTCCTTAAACTTTCCTCATAAAAAGAGAAATTTCTTTCATTCATTATATATCTGTCTGTTTGTAATTAGAACATATTTTATTGACAATTTTAATCAGGCCTACGTGAACTGTGTCATTTTAGAGTAGTTGTAGAGGAATCGTCGACCCTCGGTCTTCACGTCCAAGTTGTTCGGGTATTCCTGTAGTACGGACTGGATCACGGGGACAGCGTGCTGGAAGATGTGTCTCAGTAAAGCGTCGTATCTCTCTACAGCTTCCTCGACCTCCGGTGAAAATTCTGTGTCTGTTGACCAAAACAAGAGGCCCTCGGGCCTTATAGGTCACCTGAGTATCATGTAACAACTTTCCAGTGATTATATTTGGTTCGTGTTTTAATCCAAAAGCCAAAATTCACAAATTTTGTAAAGAGGCACCATTGCTTATCAAAGGGCAGATTTCAAAGCATTAATTTATTTTTAGTCAAAGACCCCCCTGGTAACCCTGACCCAGCAGCCCTGAAATTATCTATTTTGAAAGAGGCCCCTTTCTTCATTATAAGGCCAGCATTTTTTTTATGTTTAGGTTTAGTTATGAACATGAGAATAAAAAAAGTCCTGAAGGAGAAGGAAATAAATTTTTTTTTTTTGATAAATCAATTATTAACATTGGTACATTCTTTTTTATGCTATCCTAATAGGCTCCTTACCACTGGACACATAATGCTCACAAATAGGAAAGTAGAACATTTAATTGCTTATTTCATCATCTGCCAGTTTGGGCCAGTTATATAAATTTTGTGATGTTGAAAAATATATTTCAATATATTTCATTTTTTAAATATGTTTATATGAATGTGTATTGACATTGTTTAAAATTTACTTGATGCCTAAAATTATAATTCCTATCATTTAACAGACAGGGAGTATTGGGGAGATTGACCTTTTTAATTAAGTTTAAAATAATGTTTCTGGCTGATACAAATGATACTACATGCCTGTATATATTTGTATATTCTTGCCTTTTAATAGTTGAATTTTTTTTTATTTCTTCAGGTTATTGTTTATTTCTTCCTCAAATTTGAATTCACTTCTCCTTAGTTTTATTCATTACATCTGATGCATAAGCAACCCTTTTCTGAGGAATGATGCTTAGACTGTAAGCCATAATAGAGACCTGTTTCCCTGGCAATATGAATAGCTACCACGGGCAGTTAAAAACCTGGGGGAGGAAAAAAATTTACAGTTACTTTTGAAACGAATACATAATTATCTCACCGTCATGTCATTGTGCAACAAAGTCGTCAGCATTTTATTTGTCTTTTGAACGGGTGAAACATTTTGAATGGCACCTTATTAGAGATTTTACCTGTTTACCTGTTATCTAAATTGTACCTGCCGTTTCACCTAAAACCGTATTAAAGATTTGAAATCTCTTGTTCAAATTTTACATCAGAGAAAAAAATGTTTTTTTTTTTCTGTACATTCAAAACCTTGACGGAGGGTTTGAAAAACTAAAAATAAAATAAATCCTGGCCTTAAATATGTAATTAGATCATTAGCATATTAACCAGGGGCAAAGGATAAGATGTTCAAAGAATTCATGCATTTCCCTATATAATCATTAGATTGACCCCCCCCCCCCCCAAAAAAAAAAACAAGATTGAACCTGTAAAATTCACAATTTTGGTAGAGGCACTCTTGCTTATCATAACTATGTACTTAGTTTGTTTATTTAATACCCAGGAGCAGAGAAGAAGATTTTCAAAGAATTCATGTATTTTCACTATATAATCAATAGAGCCCCGTAACACCAGAACCCCTGACCCTGGGGCCATAAAATTCACAATTTTGGAAGAAACACTCTTGCTCATCATAACTATGTACTTAGTTGGTTTATTTAATACCCAGGAGCAGAGAAGAAGATTTTCAAAGAAATAATGCATTTTCACTACCTACTTATTTAGCCCCGCCCTAGCACTATAACCCCTGACCCTAGGGCAATGAATTTCACAATTTTGGTAAAGGACTCATTGCTGATTACAATCATGCAAACAGTTTGCCTGCTTGTTGTCCAGGAGTAAAGAAGAAGATTTTTAAAGATTGCATTAATTTTAGTGGTTTTGGCCCCACCCCTCAGGCCCCAGGGGGGCAGGGATCATGATTCACAATTTTTGTTCCTGTTCACCTGATATTTGTGCCAAATTTGGTTGAAATTGGTTCAGTGGTTTCAGAGAAGAAGCTGAAAATGTTCAAATGTTAACACACGACGAACGACGCACGACGCACGACGACGGACGAAAACGGATAGCAATAGGTCACCTGAGTTTACTCAGGTGACCTAAAAAGAAAAGATTAAATATCGTATAATAGATGTGTCACAGTAACACATCGTATCTCGCTACAGCTTCAAGATCCATCGCTAACAATGCCAAAACAATATGCTTGCTATGTATTGTCCCTACACAGTAAATAAAAATCTGCCCATGATCCACACCACTCCTCAGATGAAGATTCTTAAAGATCCTTTCCTTTGGAGATTTTCCTATTTTGGAAATTAACCAGTTAACCTTATTAGAGATTGACCTGTTTACCTGTATTAAAGATTGAACTGTTTACCTGTTTTAAAGATTGACCTGTTTACCTGTATTAGAGATTGACCTGTTTACCTGTATTACAGATTGACCTGTTTACCTGTATTAAAGATTGACCTGTTTACCTGTTTTGGAGATTAACCTGTTTTAGAGATTGACCTTTTTACCTGTATTAGAGATGACCTGTATTATATATTGACCTGTTTACTTGTTCTGGAGATTGAACTGTATTCGAGATTCACCAGTTTCTGAGATTGACCTGTTTTCTAGACTTACCTGAGGAGAGGAAGTTGTCGAGATTTTCCTGAAGGCTACAGGTGAGATTAACGAGCGTTCTACAGCCGGGGGGCACAATAAGGATGCTCTTCTGATGACGCTGAATAGATCGAAGGATCATCTCTAGGGCCGTCTCTCTCAGGGGAATCTACAAGGTCAAATAAAGGTCAAATCATACATAAATAGATCAAAGGATCATCTCTAGGGCCGTCTCTCTCAGGGGAATCTACAAGGTCAAATAAAGGTCAAATCATACATAAATAGATCAAAGGATCATCTCTAGGGCCGTCTCTCTCAGGGGAATCTACAAGGTCAAATAGAGGGCAAAGGGTAAACATAAGTCTACGACAAGGTCAAATAGAGGTCATATCATGCAAACATACATCAAGGGATCGTCTGTAACAATAGAACTCCTGATCCTGATGCCATGAATTTCATAATTATGGTAGAGGGCTTAATGCTGATTACAATCACACCAACAGTTTGACTGCTTGATGTCCAGGAGTAAACAAGAAGATTTTTAAAGATTGCATTAATTTTAGTGGTTTTAATCCTGACCCTCAGGTCCCAGGGCAGGCAGGGAACATGAAATTGGCCTAAAAACATATTAACCCAAAGTGGTCTTTCTGAAGCACAAGTTATCAAGATTACCAAATATGTGGCTATTTTAAGAGAATTGTTGTGTTTCATTTTTAGCATAATTGGGGCAGTAGGAAGCTATTTTTGGAGAATTATTTAGGGCTGGGTATTGGCCCAAGATTTCGTATTGCGATATATTGCGATATTTTAAACTGTATTGCGATATGTATTGCAATGTAATAAAAATGGCATTTTCTAGAGATATTTTCTTAATTTACATGGTTTGTACATAACTGATAAGTAACAACACAGAAAAAAAACCTTGTTGATTTCATTTAAGTTATGCTCTGAAGTGTTCCCACAAAACAACTTCTGACTTACTGTTTGGCTTAATAACAAACTTTCATGAGTCCATTTTTATATCTAATGACAAATTCCATAATTTAAACATATTGACAATCTATCGATATTACAAAATCGTATTGCGATACGATATTTTTTGTCATTGTATTGCAATATATTGAAATATCAATATTATTGCCCAGCCTTAGAATTATTGAGTTACTTTTTCGCTGTGTTACGGGTAGTAGGTAGCAATTTTCAATCAAAGATTCGTTGAGTTACTTTTTTGCCTTGTTTTGGGCAGTAGGTAGCTATTTTTTGAGAATTGTTGGGTTATTTTTTTTGGCGTGTTTGGGTTGGTAGGTGGTTACTTTTAGAGAATACTGTATACAGGGAGATTTTAGCCCCCGTTTTATTTTTGCCCCTTTCGCCCTCTTCTTGATTGGGCGAATTTAAAACGGGGCGAATTCAAATTACAGCTAATAATTTCTTAAACAGAACCATGCCTGGGTGAATTCAAATAGGGCAAAATTGTTCACAAGTTTAAAAGGGCGGAAATAACCCTGTATACAGTATTTGGGTTTCTTTTTTGGCGTGTTTGGGTCGGTAGGTAGCTATTTTTAGAGATTTGTTGAGTAACTTTTTCGGCCAGTCTGGATCAGTAGGTAGCTATTTTTAGAGATTTGTTGGTTTACTTTTTCGGCCAGTCTTGGTCGGTAGCTGGCTATTCTGGCCAGTATGTCCAGCCCGTACTGTTGGATCTCCGTGACGTCCAGATAAACGGCCATACAACCCAACACTGCTGGCGCGGCCTGACAGTTCACCATGACAACCAGGTTATCAGAAAAATGGCTGAATGTCCGCAATAGTTGTAGGCTCAACACAACATGAGACAGGGGGTCCTGCATCAAAGAAATAATTATCATACATTAACATAAATATTCTTATGATACATGTAATACGCACAGCATTTTTTTTTCTTATATAATTGGTACTGACAAACGGTGCCACTCCTAATGCCAAAAACGTTAATTTTTCCCAATTTTGTGACTAAATTTTCCCAATTCAACTGTCAAGTAACAAACCATGATAACATCATATTTCTTTTTAAATGAAACATTGTACAAGTTGAAAAATTGTTTCTTTTCCGCTTAAATCGAGAGTAGAGAGTCGTAATATGGTGGGACAGCGTAATGTCGCAAATTTTGACAAGGGAACAAGGGACATTGATATAAAAACAATAAGTAGATCTACTTGTTGTTTATTCTTTAAAACACGAAGTAATAGGTAATGAGGTTGGAATAAATGCAAAATATGTTTCATTTTCAATGATTAAATGACAGGAAATTCTCCTTTGTTCTACTTCAATGTTATTTTTCCCCCAAAAAATCGCTAAATCATATGTCCTTTTGATGACCCTTGTATGACTGAGTGAAGGACACTTACCATGATTTGTCTGAGTAATTCCACTAGCAGTCTGACGGATGGTTTGTGTAGCAGTATATCTTACCATGATTTGTCTGAGTAATTCCACTAGCAGTCTGACGGATGGTTTGTGTAGCAGTATATCTTACCATGATTTGTCTGAGTAGTTCCACTAGCAGTCTGACGGATGGTTTATGAAGCAGTATATCTTACCATGATTTGTCTGAGTAGTTCCACTAGCAGTCTGACGGATGGTTTGTGTAGCAGTATATCTTACCATGATTTGTCTGAGTAGTTCCACTAGCAGTCTGACAGATGGTTTGTGAAGCAGTATATCTTACCGTGATTTGTCTGAGTAATTCCACTAGCAGTCTGACGGATGGTTTGTGTAGCAGTATATCTTACCATGATTTGTCTGAGTAGTTCCACTAGCAGTCTGACGGATGGTTTGTGTAGCAGTATATCTTACCATGATTTGTCTGAGTAGTTCCACTAGCAGTCTGACAGATGGTTTGTGAAGCAGTATATCTTACCATGATTTGTCTGAGTAGTTCCACTAGCAGTCTGACGGATGGTTTGTGTAGCAGTATATCTTACCATGATTTGTCTGAGTAGTTCCACTAGCAGTCTGACGGACGGTTTGTGAAGCGGTCGATCTCGTTCAGACTCGGGCATCTCCTCGAGACTCTGAGATATCTCGGTGATGTACGCCACTATCACGGCGCGCTGGTAACCCGCTACCTCCTGTGTCAAAAGAGTCCAACATTTGAAACAGTGACAACAGTCACCAAATAGTCTGACTGATTTTAATTTTACATACATACCCTAACAAGACTAAGGTATACTGGTGTGTACTTATATAGTATACGACATAAGACAAACCTGTAAGAAGGAGAAGATTTGGTCTGTGATTGCTGACGACAGTTTGGTGTCTGTGTACTGGTTGATCTGTTTGGTCAGAAAGCTCGCGGCCAGGTCTGCCAGCTAGAAAATTAAACAAGTTAGAAACATCATAACAAAACTCGGGGGTAGGATTAACATCTACAAAATCAATGATAATATTCTTTACTGGCTTACAGTAGTTAATCTCATCAATACCGGTATCTGCCTAATTTAAAATTATAAAAAAAAAAGTAAACATCTGATGAATTGATGTTGATCAGAAGTTCAGGGTCTGTAATTCTAATACTCTGACCTTGTCTGTTGATTTGATGTAGATCAGGAGTTCATGGTCTATAATTTTAAAACGCTCACCTTATGCGTTGATTTGATGTTGATCAGAAGTTCACATTCTATAATTCTAATATGCTCACCTTCTCTGTTGATTTGATGTTGATCAGAAGTTCAGGGTCTATAATTCTAATACTCTAACCTTGTGTGTTGATTTGATGTTGATCAGAGGTTCAGGGTCTATAATTCTAATACTCTAACCTTGTGTGTTGATTTGATGTTGATCAGAAGTTCAGGGTCTATAATTCTAATACTCTAACCTTCTCTGTTGATTTGATGTTGATCAGGAGTTCAGGGTCTATAATTCTAATACTCTAACCTTCTCTGTTGATTTGATGTTGATCAGGAGTTTAGGGTCTATGATTCTAATACTCTAACCTTGTCTGCTGATTTGATGTTGATCAGAAGTTCAGGGTCTATAATTCTAATACTCTTACCTTGTCTGTTGATTTGATGTTGATCAGGAGTTCAGGGTCTATAATTCTAATACTCTAAGCTTGTCTGTTGATTTGATGTTGATCAGAAGTTCAGGGTCTATGATTCTAATACTCTTACCTTGCCTGTTGATTTGATGTTGATCAGAAGTTCAGGGGTCTATAATTCTAGCATCTGACCTTGTCCTTTGATTTGATGTTGATCAGAAGTTCAGGGTCTATAATTCTAATACTCTCAGCTTGTCTGTTGATTTGATGTTGATCAGAAGTTCAGGGTCTATAATTCTAATACTCTAAGCTTGTCTGTTGATTTGATGTTGATCAGAAGTTCAGGGTCTATAATTCTAATACTCTAACCTTGTCTGTTGTTTTGATGTTGATCAGAAGTTCACAGTATATAATTCTAATACTCTCACCTTGTCTGTTGATTTGATGTTGATCAGAAGTTCAGGATCTATAGTTCTAATACTCTCACCTTGTCTGTTGATTTGATGTTGATCAGAAGTTCAGGGTCTATGATTCTAATACTCTAACCTTGTCTGTTGATTTGATGTTGATCAGGAGTTCAGAGTCTATGATTCTAATACTCTCACTTTGTCTGTTGATTTGATGTTGATCAGAAGTTCAGGGTCTATAATTCTAATACTCTAACCTTGTCTGTTGATGTGATGTTGATCACAAGTTCAGTGTCTTTAATTCTAATACTCTCACTTTGTCTGTTGATTTGATGTTGGTCAGAAGTTCAGGGTCTATGATTCTAATACTCTAATCTTTTATGTTGATTTGATGTTGATCAGGAGTTCACGGTCTATAATTCTAATACTCTCACCTTGTGTGTTGTTCAGATATTGATCAGGAGTTCATGTTCTATAATTCTAATACTCTAACCTTGTCTGTTGATTTTATTTTGATCAGAAGTTCAGGATCTATGATTCTGGTACTTTTCCTTTTGTTGATTTGATGTTGAAGAAAAACAATAGAAAATTCATATTATAGTAGGTTATTGTTAAATTGATGTTGATCAGATTTCATAATTTTCTATAAAACACATTAAACCTTCTCTGTTGATTTGATGTTGATCAGGATTCAAACATGTTTTCCTAATTAATACCTTTACATCTTCCAAAAACTGAGACATTGAAAAAGTTAGCATCAGCATGTCTCTGGTTTATGTCAAACAAGACTCATGGGCCACATCGCTCACCTGTTGGCCATTCTGATCTTTACCAGATTTCCCCCTTGAAATACATATCATGAATCCTTCCCACTTTAATGTTGTATTTAATGTTTGAAATCTAGACTACCCCAGGAAGCTTCCAAATAAGTTGCAGCTTTGATTTTCAAAGATTTTTTCTATATATTTCTATGTAAAACATTGATTCCCCATTGTGGCCCCGCCCAACACCCGGGGGTCATGATTTGAACAATTTAGAATCTACACTATACCAAGATGCTTCCACATAAGTTTCAGCTTCTCTGACTCAGTGGTTCTTGAGAAGAAGATTTTCAAAGATTTTTCCTATATATTTCTATGTAACACATTGATTTCCCATTGTGGCCCAACCCTTCCCTGTGGGGTCATGATTTGAACAATTTAGAATCTACACTACCCAAGGATGCTTCCACATACGTTTCAGCTTTTCTGGTCCAGTGGTTCTTGAGAAGAAGATTTTCAAAGATTTTTCCTATATATCTCTATGTAACACATTGATTTCCCATTGTGGCCCCGCCCTACCCCACAGGGTATTGATTTGAACAATTTAGAATCTACACTACCCCAGGATGCTTCCACATAAGTTTCAGCTTTTCTGACCCAGTGGTTCTTGAGAATATTTTCAAAGATTTTTCCAATATCTTTCTATGCAAACAAGAGGCCCATGGGCCACATCGCTCACCTGAGAAGCTTTGACCATTCTGTACTTAAGTTTCAGCTTTTCTGGCCCAGTTGTTATTAAGATTTTCAAAGCTTTTTCCTATATATTTCTATGTAAAACTTTGATTCCCCATTGTGGCCCCGCCTGATCCGCGGGGATCATGATTTGAACAATTTAGAATCTACACTACCCAAGGATGTTTCCACATAAGTTTCAGCATTTCAGGCACAGTGGTTCTTGAGAAGAAGATTTTCAAAGATTTTTCCTATATATTTCTATGTTAAACTTTGATTCCCATTTGTGGCCCCGCCCAATCCCCGGGGGTCATGATTTGAACAATTTAGAATATACACTACCCCAGGATGCTTCCACATAAGTTTCAGCTTTTCTGGCACAGTGGTTCTTGAGAAGAAGATTTTCAAAAATTTTTCCTATATATTTCTATGTAAAACTTTGATTCCCAATTGTGGCCCTGCCCAAGCCCAGGGGGTCATGATTTGAACAATTTAGAATCTACACTATCCCAGGATGCTTCCACATAAGTTTCAGCTTTTCTGACCCAGTGGTTCTTGAAAAGAAGATTTTCAAAGATTTTTCTAATATATTTTTTATGTAAAACTTTGATTTCCTCATTGTGGCCCCACCCAATACCCTCAGGGGTCATGATTTGAACAATTTAGAATCACACTACCCCAGGATGCTTCCACATAAGTTTCAGCTTTTCTGTCACAGTGGTTCTTGAGAAGAAGATTTTCAAAGATTTTTCCTATATATTTCTATGTAAAACTTTGATTCCCCATTGTGGCCCCGCCCAATCCCCGGGGGTCATGATTTGAACAATTTAGAATCAACACTAACCCAGGATGCTTCCACATAAGCTTCAGCTTTTCTGGCACAGTGGTTCTTGAGAAGAAGATTTTCAAAGATTTTTCCTATATATTCCTATGTAAAACTTTGATTCCCCATTGTGGCGCCGCCCAATCCCTGGGGGTCATGATTTGAACAATTTAGAATCAACACTATCCCAGGATGCTTCCACATAAGCTTCAGCTTTTCTGGCACAGTGGTTCTTGAAAAGAAGATTTTCAAAGATTTTTCCTATATATTTCTATGTAAAACTTTGATTCCCCTTTGTGGCCCTACCCTTTCCTCGGGGGTCATGATTTGAACAATTTAGAATCTGCACTATCCCAGGATGCTTCTACATAAGTTTCAGCTTTACTGGCCCAGTGGTTCTTGAGAAGAAGATTTTTTAATGACCCCACCCTATTTTTGTATTTTCTTGATTATCTCCACTTGCGAGTGTATTATTCCCCTTCTCTCTTTGATATGTCCCTTCATTTTAACAATTTAAATTCCCCTTCACCCAAGGATGCTTTGTACCAAGTTTGGTCAAAATTGGCCCAGTGGTTCTTGAGAAGAAGTTGAAAATGTGAAAAGTTTACACGGACAGACGGACGGACAGCTGGACAGACAGAAATTCTGAAGTACACAATGTGATCAAAAAGATTGAGCCCTCCTATATATCTCTATGTAAAACATTGATTCCCATTTGTGGCCCTGTCCTACCCCGGGGGTCATGATTTGAACAATTTAAAATCTTAAACACTACCCAAGGATGCTTCCACATAAGTTTCAGCTTTTCTGGCCCAGTGGTTCTTGAGAAGATTTTCAAAGATTTTTCCTAAATATTTCTATGTTAAACATTGATTCCCCATTGTGGCCCCACCCTACCCCCAGGGGTCATGATTTGTACAATTTAGAATCTACACTACCCCAAAATGCTTCCTCATAAGTTTCAGCTTTTCTGGTCCAGTGGTTCTTGAGAAGAAGATTTTCAAAGATTTTTCCTATATATTTCATTGTAAAACTTTGATTCCCCATTGTGGCCCGACCCTACCCACGTGGGTCATGATTTGAACAATTTAGAATCTACACTACCCCAGGATGCTTCCACATAAGTTTCAGCTTTTCTGGCCCAGTGGTTCTTGAGAAGATTTTCAAAGATTTTTCCTATATATTTCTATGTAAAACATTGATTCCCCATTGTGGCCCCACCCTATCCCCGGGGTTCATGATTTGAACAATTTAGAATCTACAGTACCCCAGGATGCTTCCACATAAGTTTCAGCTTTACTGGCCCAGTGGTTCTTGAGAAGAAGATTTTTTAAAGACCCAACCCTATTTTTGTCTTTTCTTGATTATCTCCCCTTGCAAGGGGATATGCCCCTTCATTTTAAAAATTTAATTTCTCCTTCACCCAAGGATGCTTTGTGCAAAGTCTGGTCAAAATTGGCCAAGTGGTTCTTGAGAAGAAGTCGAAAATCATAATGTGAAGAGTTTACAGACGGACAGCTACACAGATGGACGACGGATGTTATCAGAAAAGCTTACTTGAGTCTTCGGCTCAGGTGAGCTAAAAATTAAACCCTGCAATGAGAGTTTTTATCCAATCCAAGGCTGTTTTATGTTTGATCCTGTTAATCTTAAGAAGGGTTGTGTCCTTGTCTCAATCTCATGCCTTAAAGGTCAAGGTTATTTGTTAACGAGATGTTGAAAAATCACTATACATAGTCTGTCAAATCTGTTGGTTTAATAACTTATGAAATACTCCGTATGTTGTGCGTCCAGGACATGAGAGAGGGTGTAGTCAACATCTATATTAAATGATAATTCACATATAGACATTCTATGTTAGATGATAATTCATATATAGACATTCGAAGCTCACTGTATAACTTACCAGTATTATCTCCCCCTCTCTCTTTGGTTTAGGTGAGATGTATACCGTACATACTCGCCTATAAGTTGGTCCGCCTATAAGTCGGTTGTACTTAATAAGCTGATATCATAGAAATTGACCTCATGTAATACCATTCTTTTATAGCTATAAGGTTGGACATATAACTTACCAGTATTATCTCCCCTTCTCTCTTTTTTAGGTGAGTATATATAACTTACCAGTATTATCTCCCCTTCTCTCTTTGGTTTAGGTGAGATGTATAACTTACCAGTATTATCCCCCTTTCTCTCTTTGGTTTAGGTGAGATGTATAACTTACCAGTATTATCATCCCTTCTCTCTTTGGTTTAGGTGAGATGTATAACTTTCCAGTATTATCTCCCCTTCTCTCTTTGGTTTAGGTGAGATGTATAACTTACCAGTATTATCTCCCCTTCTCTCTTTGGTTTAGGTGAGATGTATAACTTACCAGTATTATCCCCCCTTCTCTCTTTGGTTTAGGTGAGATGTATAACTTACCAGTATTATCTCCCCTTCTCTCTTTGGTTTAGGTGTGATGTATAACTTACCAGTGTTATCTCCCCCTCTCTCTTTGGTTTAGGTGAGATGTATAACTTACCAGTATTATCTCCCCTTCTCTCTTTGGTTTAGGTGAGATGTATAACTTACCAGTATTATCTCCCCTTCTCTCTTTGGTTTAGGTGAGATGTATAACTTACCAGTATTATCTCCCCTTCTCCCTTTGGTTTAGGTGAAATGTATAACTTACCAGTATTATCTCCCCCTCTCTCTTTGGTTTAGGTGAGATGTATAACTTACCTGTATTATCTCCCCTTCTCTCTTTGGTTTAGGTGAGATGTATAACTTACCAGTATTATCCCCCCTTCTCTCTTTGGTTTAGGTGAGATGTATAACTTACCAGTATTATCTCCCCTTCTCTCTTTGGTTTAGGTGAGATGTATAACTTACCAGTATTATCTCCCCTTCTCTCTTTGGTTTAGGTGAGATGTATAACTTACCAGTATTATCTCCCCTTCTCTCTTGGGTTTAGGTGAGATGTATAACTTACCAGTATTATCCCCCCTTCTCTCTTTGGTTTAGGTGAGATGTATAACTTACCAGTATTATCTCCCCTTCTCTCTTTGGTTTAGGTGAGATGTATAACTTACCAGTATTATCTCCCCTTCTCTCTTTGGTTTAGGTGAGATGTATAACTTACCAGTATTATCTCCCCTTCTCTCTTTGGTTTAGGTGAGATGTATAACTTACCAGTATTATCTCCCCTTCTCTCTTTGGTTTAGGTGAGGAGATGTATAACTTACCAGTATTATCTCCCCTTCTCTCTTTGGTTTAGGTGAGATGTATAACTTACCAGTATTATCTCCCCTTCTCTCTTTGGTTTAGGTGAGATGTATAACTTACCAGTATTATCTCCCCTTCTCTCTTTGGTTTAGGTGAGATGTATAACTTACCAGTATTATCTCCCCTTCTCTCTTTGGTTTAGGTGAGATGTATAACTTACCAGTATTATCTCCCCTTCTCTCTTTGGTTTAGGTGAGATGTATAACTTACCAGTATTATCTCCCCTTCTCTCTTTGGTTTAGGTGAGATGTATAACTTACCAGTATTATCTCCCCTTCTCTCTTGGGTTTAGGTGAGATGTATAACTTACCAGTATTATCTCCCCTTCTCTCTTTGGTTTAGGTGAGATGTATAACTTACCAGTATTATCTCCCCTTCTCTCTTTGGTTTAGGTGAGATGTATAACTTACCAGTATTATCTCCCCTTCTCTCTTTGGTTTAGGTGAGATGTATAACTTACCAGTATTATCTCCCCTTCTCTCTTTGGTTTAGGTGAGATGTATAACTTACCAGTATTATCTCCCCTTCTCTCTTTGGTTTAGGTGAGATGTATAACTTACCAGTATTATCTCCCCTTCTCTCTTTGGTTTAGGTGAGATGTATAACTTACCAGTATTATCTCCCCTTCTCTCTTTGGTTTAGGTGAGATGTATAACTTACCAGTATTATCTCCCCTTCTCTCTTTGGTTTAGGTGAGATGTATAACTTACCAGTATTATCTCCCCTTCTCTCTTTGGTTTAGGTGAGATGTATAACTTACCAGTATTATCTCCCCCTTCTCTCTTTGGTTTAGGTGAGATGTATAACTTACCAGTATTATCTCCCCCTCTCTCTTTGGTTTAGGTGAGATGTATAACTTACCAGTATTATCTCCCCTTCTCTCTTTGGTTTAGGTGAGATGTATAACTTACCAGTATTATCTCCCCCTTCTCTCTTTGGTTTAGGTGAGGAGATGTATAACTTACCAGTATTATCTCCCCTTCTCTCTTTGGTTTAGGTGAGATGTATAACTTACCAGTATTATCTCCCCTTCTCTCTTTGGTTTAGGTGAGATGTATAACTTACCAGTATTATCTCCCCTTCTCTCTTTGGTTTAGGTGAGATGTATAACTTACCAGTATTATCTCCCCTTCTCTCTTTGGTTTAGGTGAGATGTATAACTTACCAGTATTATCTCCCCTTCTCTCTTTGGTTTAGGTGAGATGTATAACTTACCAGTATTATCTCCCCTTCTCTCTTTGGTTTAGGTGAGATGTATAACTTACCAGTATTATCTCCCCTTCTCTCTTTGGTTTAGGTGAGATGTATAACTTACCAGTATTATCTCCCCTTCTCTCTTTGGTTTAGGTGAGATGTATAACTTACCAGTATTATCTCCCCTTCTCTCTTTGGTTTAGGTGAGATGTATAACTTACCAGTATTATCTCCCCTTCTCTCTTTGGTTTAGGTGAGATGTATAACTTACCAGTATTATCTCCCCTTCTCTCTTTGGTTTAGGTGAGATGTATAACTTACCAGTATTATCTCCCCTTCTCTCTTTGGTTTAGGTGAGATGTATAACTTACCAGTATTATCTCCCCTTCTCTCTTTGGTTTAGGTGAGATGTATAACTTACCAGTATTATCCCCCCTTCTCTCTTTGGTTTAGGTGAGATGTATAACTTACCAGTATTATCTCTTCTTCTCTCTTTGGTTTAGGTGAGATGTATAACTTACCAGTATTATCTCCCCTTCTCTCTTTGGTTTAGGTGAGATGTATAACTTACCAGTATTATCTCCCCTTCTCTCTTTGGTTTAGGTGAGATGTATAACTTACCAGTATTATCTCCCCTTCTCTCTTTGGTTTAGGTGAGATGTATAACTTACCAGTATTATCTCCCCTTCTCTCTTTGGTTTAGGTGAGATGTATAACTTACCAGTATTATCTCCCCTTCTCTCTTTGGTTTAGGTGAGATGTATAACTTACCAGTATTATCTCCCCTTCTCTCTTTGGTTTAGGTGAGATGTATAACTTACCAGTATTATCTCCCCTTCTCTCTTTGGTTTAGGTGAGATGTATAACTTACCAGTATTATCTCCCCTTCTCTCTTTGGTTTAGGTGAGATGTATAACTTACCAGTATTATCTCCCCTTCTCTCTTTGGTTTAGGTGAGATGTATAACTTACCAGTATTATCTCCCCTTCTCTCTTTGGTTTAGGTGAGATGTATAACTTACCAGTATTATCTCCCCTTCTCTCTTTGGTTTAGGTGAGATGTATAACTTACCAGTATTATCTCCCCTTCTCTCTTTGGTTTAGGTGAGATGTATAACTTACCAGTATTATCTCCCCTTCTCTCTTTGGTTTAGGTGAGATGTATAACTTACCAGTATTATCTCCCCTTCTCTCTTTGGTTTAGGTGAGATGTATAACTTACCAGTATTATCTCCCCTTCTCTCTTTGGTTTAGGTGAGATGTATAACTTACCTGTATTATCTCCCCTTCTCTCTTTGGTTTAGGTGAGATGTATAACTTACCAGTATTATCTCCCCTTCTCTCTTTGGTTTAGGTGAGATGTATAACTTACCAGTATTATTCCCCCTTCTCTCTATGGTTTAGGTGAGATGTATAACTTACCAGTATTATCTCCCCTTCTCTCTTTGGTTTAGGTGAGATGTATAACTTACCAGTATTATCTCCCCTTCTCTCTTTGGTTTAGGTGAGATGTATAACTTACCAGTATTATCTCCCCTTCTCTCTTTGGTTTAGGTGAGATGTATAACTTACCAGTATTATCTCCCCTTCTCTCTTTGGTTTAGGTGAGATGTATAACTTACCAGTATTATCTCCCCTTCTCTCTTTGGTTTAGGTGAGATGTATAACTTACCAGTATTATCTCCCCTTCTCTCTTTGTTTTAGGTGAGATGTATAACTTACCAGTATTATCTCCCCTTCTCTCTTTGGTTTAGGTGAGATGTATAACTTACCAGTATTATCTCCCCTTCTCTCTTTGGTTTAGGTGAGATGTATAACTTACCAGTATTATCTCCCCTTCTCTCTTTGGTTTAGGTGAGATGTATAACTTACCAGTATTATCTCCCCTTCTCTCTTTGGTTTAGGTGAGATGTGTAACTTACCAGTATTATCCCCCCTTCTCTCTTTGGTTTAGGTGAGATGTATAACTTACCAGTATTATCTCCCCTTCTCTCTTTGGTTTAGGTGAGATGTATAACTTACCAGTATTATCTCCCCTTCTCTCTTTGGTTTAGGTGAGATGTATGTGTATAACTTACCAGTATTATCTCCCCTTCTCTCTTTGGTTTAGGTGAGATGTATAACTTACCAGTATTATCTCCCCTTCTCTCTTTGGTTTAGGTGAGATGTATAACTTACCAGTATTATCTCCCCTTCTCTCTTTGGTTTAGGTGAGATGTATAACTTACCAGTATTATCTCCCCTTCTCTCTTTGGTTTAGGTGAGATGTATAACTTACCAGTATTATCTCCCCTTCTCTCTTTGGTTTAGGTGAGATGTATAACTTACCAGTATTATCTCCCCTTCTCTCTTTGGTTTAGGTGAGATGTATAACTTACCAGTATTATCTCCCCTTCTCTCTTTGGTTTAGGTGAGATGTATAACTTACCAGTATTATCTCCCCTTCTCTCTTTGGTTTAGGTGAGATGTATAACTTACCAGTATTATCTCCCCTTCTCTCTTTGGTTTGGGTGAGGAGATGTATAACTTACCAGTATTATCTCCCCTTCTCTCTTTGGTTTAGGTGAGATGTATAACTTACCAGTATTATCTCCCCTTCTCTCTTTGGTTTAGGTGAGATGTATAACTTACCAGTATTATCTCCCCTTCTCTCTTTGGTTTAGGTGAGATGTATAACTTTCCAGTATTATCTCCCCTTCTCTCTTTGGTTTAGGTGAGATGTATAACTTACCAGTATTATCTCCCCTTCTCTCTTTTTAGGTTTAGGTGTGATGTATAACTTACCAGTATTATCTCCCCTTCTCTCTTTGGTTTAGGTGAGATGTATAACTTACCAGTATTATCTCCCCTTCTCTCTTTGGTTTAGGTGAGATGTATAACTTACCAGTATTATGTCCCCTTCTCTCTTTGGTTTAGGTGAGGAGATGTATAACTTACCAGTATTATCTCCCCTTCTCTCTTTGGTTTAGGTGAGATGTATAACTTACCAGTATTATCTCCCCTTCTCTTTTTGGTTTAGGTGAGATGTATAACTTACCAGTATTATTTCCCCTTCTCTCTTTGGTTTAGATGAGATGTATAACTTACCAGTATTATCTCCCCTTCTCTCTTTGGTTTAGGTGAGATGTATAACTTACCAGTATTATCTCCCCTTCTCTCTTTGGTTTAGGTGAGATGTATAACTTACCAGTATTATCTCCCCCTTCTCTCTTTGGTTTAGGTGAGATGTATAACTTACCAGTATTATCTCCCCTTCTCTCTTTGGTTTAGGTGAGATGTATAACTTACCAGTAATATCTCCCCTTCTCTCTTTGGTTTAGGTGAGATGTATAACTTACCAGTATTATCTCCCCTTCTCTCTTTGGTTTAGGTGAGATGTATAACTTACCAGTATTATCTCCCCTTCTCTCTTTGGTTTAGGTGAGGAGATGTATAACTTACCAGTATTATCTCCCCTTCTCTCTTGGGTTTAGGTGAGATGTATAACTTACCAGTATTATCTCCCCTTCTCTCTTGGGTTTAGGTGAGATGTATAACTTACCAGTATTATCTCCCCTTCTCTCTTTGGTTTAGGTGAGATGTATAACTTACCAGTATTATCCCCCGTTCTCTCTTTGGTTTAGGTGAGATGTATAACTTACCAGTATTATCTCCCCTTCTCTCTTTGGTTTAGGTGAGATGTATAACTTACCAGTATTATCCCCCCTTCTCTCTTTGGTTTAGGTGAGATGTATAACTTACCAGTATTATCTCCCCTTCTCTCTTTGGTTTAGGTGAGATGTATAACTTACCAGTATTATCTCCCCTTCTCTCTTTGGTTTAGGTGGGGGTGAGGACTTGACTGTGATCCCTGGGGTAGGGGGTAGTTTACAGCTTGGGACACCTCCCTGATATATCCTAAGAGTCCTGTCTGCCACCTCTATAGGGACACCTAAAAATAAACTTCAACATATCACCAAGCTCACAAGAGTTAAGGACACCTAAAAATAAACTTCCCTTTTACAATATATCACTAAGCACACACGAGTTACGGACACCTAAAAATAAACTTCAACATATCACTGAGCTCACAAGAGTTACAGACACCTAAAAATAAACTTCAACATATCACCAAGCTCACAAGAGTTACAGACACCTAAAAATAAACTTCTCTTTTACCACTTATCACTGAGCTCACACGAGTTACAGACACCTATAAATAAACTTCAACATAGCACCAAGCTCACAAGAGGACACCTAAAAATAAACTTCAACATATCACCAAGCTCACAAGAGTTAAGGACACCTAAAAATAAACTTCAACATAGCACCAAGCTCACAAGAGTTATAAGGTTCAACAGTTCGGAGAGAATACTAGACAAGACAAATAAGGTAATCTATGCTTTGTTTGTTTTAGGACTGATTTCAGAATTGTACCTGCTTTACTTATCACTCCTCTTTCTGAGATTTGGGCTGATAATAATTCATCAACTGTTGATTTCTCCTTTTTACTGACATTTTCAGTATACTCACAACTTATGAGGTTGATTTCTGCCGTGACGTCCCCTGGCTGTTAATCATACAGTCTACTCACCACTTATGAGATTAATTCCCCCTATGAGGCCCCCACTGTTAATCATACAGTCTACTCACCACTTATGAGATTAATTCCTCCGTGACGCCCCCACTGTTAATCATACAGTCTACTCACCACTTATGAGGTTGATTTCCCCCGTGAGGTCCTCACTATCTATAGTACAGATGAGGTCAAGGTTGGCTGGGGCCAGTACCATGCCCCCATTCTCAGTGAGGGTGAGCTGTAACAGGGAGACACAAATCCCAACAGCACTGCTGTTATCAGTGGGAACCGCCCGAATGTTACCGTCTACACCAAGACCTGTGAATCAAACAAAGACGGTTTCTTAATTTTACAAATTAACAGCTTTGTATTTTTTCCCTGGTTTTATTGTGAGGCCCTAGTTCTTCATTTTACAAATTAAAAGCTTAATTTGTATTATGCTTTTAATTTGTATTATTTCCCTGGTTTTATTGTGAGGCCCTAGTTCTTAGTTTTACAAATTAACAGCTTTGTTTTATTTCCCTGGTTTTATTGTGAGGCCCCATTGAGTAAGCCAAGGGTAAATCTGACACTAGAATTTAATATAAGACTGTGCAGGGTCAAACCTAATATGATGAAAATGCAGATAGTAATTGTTCCTTTATCAAGTGCTTTCACTGCATCACTGTAGACATGGAACAACCTTCACTGATTAACAGTAGACATTGGAAGGATAATAATTACATGCATAAAGATCCCTTATGCACTGGCAGATTTAGAGGGGCGGGCCAGTTTTGTGTCCAAAAAATACACAAAATTGGATAAATCAGTGGCTTTTTGGTGTGGTTGAGAATCCCTACTCTGACCCCTAACTGGTCAGGCCCCCCTTTTCAAGATTTCTGGATCCACCACAGCTTATGTACTGCTTCAGTCCTATTTACTATACATTGGTCAAATTAACAGCATTTAAGGTATACCTTTACTTAGTAGACTAAAAATTCCACTGATAAGAACGAAAAACCACCTATTGCATATTGTACACCTATGATTCTTGTGTTGAATTTCAATTTCAAATAACTAGGTCAATGACCTCGTTTTCATGCTAGGGACCCCTGAATATTTCTCGGGAAATACCTCAATTTTTCACACTTTGACCAATTTTTTCTTCACTAACAAAATATTACAAGCAACAAAACTCTTTAAATAATGAAATATTATAGCAATGGAACAAAGTTGCTCTATATAAAGAAATGAGTAGAGTTTGGGCCATAAATGTGATAATTTTTACAGTCCGAATTTCCTCTGTCATATTTATATTTTTGCCTATTTTTAATCAAATATTGCAAAAATCTGACTGATAAGAACTCTTAATTATTTATAGTCTCTAGCTACTTTTGTTACCCTCATTCTCATGGTATTAATATTATATTGGGTCAATGATCAAATTATTAAGATATGTTGACTGCAGTGGTTTTTGTACATGTTTTTTGAATTTCTTTATTTCATAGCATTCGTTTATTTGAAATAATTTATGTGCTTAAACACAATTAAAATTTGAAAAATGACATCTTAAAATACATGTAACCTTTACTTAGTGATTAATATTGCAAGAAATAAAAATTTTGAAAAAATTGAAAAATTACAAATTTAGTCCGAATTTCCTCTGCATAGCAATACATTGAGATTTGTTCCTGTATATTTTCTTCAAGTACTTACATATTAATTTTTTCTAATTTATATTGAGATAAAACTTAGTTATTTCATCCATTTAGAAAACTTTTTGATTCAATATATTATACTTTATAAAATTTCCTCTCTGATTTCTGAAACCTGAGTAAACGTCATCCTTAACATTAAATAAGCCGGACAAGTGTGATGTCTCCAGATAAGTCCAAAACTATTGAATGGGAAGAAAAACAACACACAATCAATTAGCTGTGACAACTATTGAATCAGAATGGAAAATAAAACAACACACAATCAATTAGCTGTAACAACTATTGAATCAGAATGGAAAATAAAACAACACACAATCAATTAGCTGTGACAACTATTGAATCAGAATGGAAAATAAAACAACACACAATCAATTAGCTGTGACAACTATTGAATCAGAATGGAAAATAAAACAACACACAATCAATTAGCTGTGACAACTATTGAATCAGAATGGAAAATAAAACAACACACAATCAATTAGCTGTGACAACTATTGAATCAGAATGGAAAATAAAACAACACACAATCAATTAGCTGTAACAACTATTGAATCAGAATGGGAAATAAAACAACACACAATCAATTAGCTGTAACAACTATTGAATCAGAATGGAAAATAAAACAACACACAATCAATTAGCTGTGACAACTATTGAATCAGAATGGAAAATAAAACAACACACAATCAATTAGCTGTGACAACTATTGAATCAGAATGGAAAACAAAACAACACACAATCAATTAGCTGTAACAACTATTGAATCAGAATGGAAAACAAAACAACACACAATCAATTAGCTGTGACAACTATTGAATCAGAATGGAAAATAAAACAACACACAATCAATTAGCTGTAACAACTATTGAATCAGAATGGAAAATAAAACAACACACAATCAATTAGCTGTGACAACTACTATATTTAGTATTGAATGGGAAATAAAACAACACACAATCAATTAGCTGTAACAACTATTGAATCAGAATGGAAAATAAAACAACACACAATCAATTAGCTGTAACAACTATTGAATCAGAATGGAAAATAAAACAACACACAATCAATTAGCTGTAACAACTATTGAATCAGAATGGAAAATAAAACAACACACAATCAATTAGCTGTGACAACAACTACTATATTTAGTATTGAATGGGAAGTAAAACAACACACAATCAGTTAGCTGTAACAACTATTGAATGGAAGTAAAACAACACACAATCAGTTAGCTGTGACAACTATTGAATGGGAAGTAAAACAACACACAATCAATTAGCTGTGACAACTATTGAAAGGGAAGTAAAACAACACACAATCAATTAGCTGTGACAACTACCGTTACTACATTTAGTATTTTGTCTATGTCAGTTCAATCATTTAAAGAATGAAGCTTATTTTAACTCATGTTATATGATATGACATAACTTTGGGTAGTTTAAACTTCGCGGTTTATAAAGAAGCGTAATATTGTCTCAATAAAGGATCAAACATAAAACGCTTCTCGGTTTATAAAAAGCGTAAACTACCCCTTGTTATGTTATATTATATAACATAAGTTGAAATAAGCTTTATTCCTTATACATGTTGTAATTTAATTGAAGTGTAGACAATAAGAGACATTTTTTCCTCCAAAAAAAGTCTTCAACTTTAGTGTATTTTAAAAGTAATGTCCAGTGATGTACATGATGTAATACTTTCTTGACGTAACTCATTGTGTCATCATGGTCATAGGCAACTCATGTTATACGAAATGGATTAAATCTTTTTTTCCAATCAAATGACCTGTTACAACTAAAATTAAATTATTTGCTAAAATCAAAAACATTTTGTACAACAGTTACACTCAAGTATCTCATTCTCAAACAACAATAACTCGAATACCATGGATATATCAAAGTGAGATGGAAGTCTAAAACACTTTTTATGCCCCCCGTAATTGAATATTCATGGGTATATAGTTTTTGCCCTGTCTGTCTGTTTGTCTACAAAAAAATTTAACCTTGCTCACAACTTTTGAGTAGGTTGAGCTATGGCTTTCTTTGGGTACACCAAATTTGACCTCTTGAATTGACCTTGGAATTTTACCCACATTTACAAAAAATATTACACTTTAACCTTGGTCATAACTTTTGAACAGTTGGTGCTAGGGCTTTTCATTTTGACAAGACCATTCCGTGGGTATAAGTATTTTTTACTCTGTCCTTAAGAATTTGACCGGCATGCAAAACATTAATGTAAAATGAAGATTTAGGATTTAGACACTCAATTTTTTCTTTGCTTGAACAGTTACCATATTCTTGATATTAAATTTTATGGTTATAAAAGAACAAATTAATTAGGTGTACTTAGCATGCTTAGGTTATTGCAACAGTGATATTTTCCATCCTAAGTACTCTTAATAATCTGGTATTCATACCTTCAAGAACCTATACTAACATGACTATATAAGCTGTAACCTTTTTCATAACATAAGGAAACAATTATTTCAATGTTTGTGTGATTAAAGTCCATTCTAACTTGTAGATATTAAACATTGTTAAACATTTCCTTTTACAGAAGGTTTTTATCAATTTCTTCCTGTTTCTGTCAGAATTTCCTGCTTATTAAATGCTAGAGACACTGTGTTTGTATATATTATTTTAAAATATTTACATTTGCAAATGTTTTCCTTTATATAACACTACTGAAAGCAATGCATATCTATAACTGTATAAATACAGGTATGGGGTTGGGTTTGAAAAATAACACATTCGTGTCACAAAGTCACAATCGGCTAATAGGAAGTATGAATAAGTAACAAATATAAATATAAGTAATAACGTATCATTTTAAAACATCTATCCGGCTATAAATACGGGTTGGTAACTTGGTACGAGATTAAATTCATCATAAAGCCCTTCGGGCTCACAGAACATTAACTGGCAAGATTGGAAATATGCAGCTTACATCATTTCTATCTGCTAAAATAAAAAATTTCAATAATAGACAATGAAATGAGTGGGTACAATTCGATGCGGATGGACGAGAAAAAATTGGATTGAAATTCTAGTTTAAAGTTTATTTTCATGAAATAAAGAAAAAAAATTGTTATCATGGTTATTGTGGAAATATTTCTTTTACCATTATCATGATTATCATTATCAATATTATTATCATGATTATTATGTGATTTGAATCATTTGGTTCAATCATTTTTCAAGTCAGGTAACTACTTTAAGCTTGTCATTATGTTGCTGTTTCTTATATTAAAAAATATGAATAAATAGATTTTTTGTTAAATATAATTATTTAATCATTAGTTTTTATCCTACTGTGTACATGATCAATCAAAAACGATTTTAAACCAAAAAAAATCAGAACCGGCCAGAAAAATTATGGAACCGTGAGAGTCCTATGCAATTATTCCGAGAAAGTATGTTCTAGCTATCATTAAAATGATATTGTCATACAGACCCGGTTTAACGATAGAATTCATTTTGTGTATTGGCAATGTAGCAAAATAAACACAGGCGATAACTCAAACTCAGTGCATTTACCAAAAGAAGGATTCAATCTCAAAGTTCGTAAAACAATACAAAATAATAGCAGAGCAAACACGGACCCCCGAAGCATCAGAGG